GTGGTGGGGTCACCATCCCTGGGGGTGTTCAAGAAAAGAGGAGGTGGCACTTAGTGCCATGGTCTAGTTGACATGGTGGTGTTAGGGCAAAGGTTGGACTCAATGATCCCAGAGGTCTCTTCCAACCAAATCAATTCTGTGATTCTGAAATAATGACACCGTGTCAATCAGTATCTAATTTCTTAAATTTACTTCTGCTGCCTATGCAGCTCTTTTCTTAACAAGACTAGCAGCTGTTGAGCAAAGACCTTTTGGGAAAAGATATTCTATGCTTTCAGGAAATTTTGTGCAGCCATTATGTTTGCAGAGACATTTTTAAAGTAACATTCTCATCAACAACCTGAACACTAGTTTACAGCCAAAACTGTTGTTGTTCATTGTTCCACAAGTCCCATATCTCAGAAATATAAAGATCTAAAGATTTCTAAGATTCTAGGAGATCAAATTCAGCAACAGAAGACTACTTTGATACTAAAACATTTCAAAGGTAAATATGAGCTTTATGCAAATTTAGTACTAACTGGGAGATGGAAGCACTGAATTTAATTGCTATAATTTACTTGAAAGTAATCACAGATAACTTTTGCTCATCTCAAAATAGTCATAATGAAGAATCAGAAAACAAAGCAAAGTTTGCTGAGCAATATCTAAATGCCCTGCACAGGCTTTCAGGAAACATTACCAAAAAGATAACGTTTGTGCTCTTTCTTTAGGATCTGAACTACTTCTTGTAAAGAACACCACTTTACAAAGAGACGAAAGTAAGTTTCTTTAGATTATTTGGAAGGTTAAGGGATTACAGATAAGATGTTGAATTATTTTTTAAGAAGTGAAGAGGAGCAGGGTCAAAAAACCACATTCAAACAGATGGAGAAAAATTTGAGAAATGTAAGAACTGCTATAGTATGCTGTTGAAACAGGAAGATTACGAGAGCAATTTATTACCACGGCCTCTGCATCCCTCCCTGTCTCTGCTGGTTTACTTTGCAGAAGATCTTGATGTTAGAAAAACCTAACAGTTTTCATCTGATCTTAGAGAGGAAACCAGTTTGTAGTCTCTAGATTCTATTGAGACTGCTTTTCATCAAGGTAGCAACTTGTGGTTTCAGTTTAAAAATAATATTTTCTAAATACATCAAAAGACCTTCCTGCACAAGACCTTCTGAAATTGCTGCATTGCACGATCTAAACAAACCTGTTGGCACTGTCATCCAACGTTCGCTCAAACCACTGCACGGAGGCTGTTTGGAGGGGATCCAGCACCAGAGTCATCAGGTGTCGAGCCAGGCTGCAGCAGCGTTCTGAACGCATTGGATTTCTCTTGTAAGGCATAGCACTTGAACCTGTGGAAGGAGAAGGAGTGACGGAAAGAGGACGTAGAAGTAGTGTATTCAGGAGGAAGAGATGATGGTCCTCCAGATAAGAAAAATGTGTCAGGAATCATGTTTTTGACTAAAGCCTCGAAACATGATGATTTTCTAAGGACAAAGTGGAATAAAGAAAATGACATCACCACACTTCCCTTCAGATTAGAAACAGCCAAATGTGCGGAGGAAAAAAGTGAGAAGACATTTTGCAATTCTGCAGAACAGAAGTACTACCACATAAAAAGAACAAATGAACTTAATTTTTAATGCAGTGTTTTGCACCATCTCGCTAGGCTACTCATGGCAACTTTAGCAGCGTTCAAAACGCCATCTGCTCAATTCCACTGTCCTTCAAAGTCAGATACTTACAACTGCTGCCCGTTGCTCTGGTGAATGGATATCAGAACCAACCATAGAATGCAGAATGATTCAAGTAACAAATAGGACTAAGGCTTAATTTGCCGATTCAATCCTATGAAACTATTTAGGGTGCCTGCCCAAACTTTGTTCCAGCCAAGAGCCAAAACTCTGCATTTCCTTCTCCCCTTCTACCAATGTCAGAATCACATCATTGGTGTTTCGCTGGCAAGGGTCCAGCCTAGTTTCATTGTTCCAAATTTGTCTGTTTATAAAGACTAAAATGCTGAGTCAAGCTGAAAACCCAGAGCTCCAGTTGGCTTCATGAGGAATGGAAAACACTAAGTACTCCTCAGACCCAAGTCTTCCTCTGTGGGGAATACGTGACTGCTTCTGCTCTCCCCCCAAACCCAGGAAGTGCAGAAATACAAATCTGATTTTAATTACTTAATATCTAGAAACTTTCGGGCAAAGTGCATTTTTTTTCATTTAAAAAGGACCCAAAATACCAACAATGTCAAACCTCAGTTAATTTAAAGCAACTTCTGTCAGTGACATTTCCAAGTTTGCTTAAAAGGCTGCACCAACATAAATGAAAATACATGTACACCAGGTCCAAGAAATGTCTTACCAATCTGGTCTTTCTCAAAAGGCTCCTCTATCTCCTTCAGGTTGGCCAAAAGACGAATGTCAGTACAAATCTAGAAAAAAGCCCAAGAAATTAACAAACAGAACCAAACTAACAGGCACCAATATATAGTCCTGTTAGTGTTCTTGGAGAAGTGTCTGCATCTGTGCTCGAGAAGTAAACTGGGGCACAGTGAAAAATTTGTCCAAAAAATTGACACTGCAATAATACTTCCCAGCCTAAAAATCCCAGTTAAGAAAGCATAAGGAAAAAAAAGGTGTCCATTGGATTAGAATAGAACAGGACTCCAAGAAAGGCAAATGTTTGCAGGGAATGGAAGAGATACCAGGAGGGAACAGTGAAAACGTGTAACAAATTACACAGTGATTTGCAAACACGGATAATGTGGGCTCACTGAACCAGCCAGCCGACAACACTAAACCAGAAGAAAATACCACAGATCATTTTAGTCCAAGACGAGGAGGAGGGAGGGAACAGAAATAAATCAATGAAAAGAATCCACAAGGACAGACAGAATAACACCATTATCAGAGATTCAATTAACTAGGAGCAAATGGTGAAATTTAAAAACTCATATACCACTAGGAAAGACATTTACTCTAATTGGATCAATTTAGACTATTATATGGTGTGGGATTTGTTAACTCATCTTAGAATCTGCACAGTAAACTTGCTTTATTTGCCACTGGTCTTAAGATCTTTGAGGTTTGATTACTAGGCATGTACCCAGCGGTGAATTTACAGAATCACAGGTGAACAGCTGAACAAGGAACACCAATTAATATTTCCTGAGAACAGTGCTCTGTACCATGAGCACCTTCTTTTCAAGATCTAAAATGTTTCCCCTTCTTCCCAACGTATACAAATAGGGTGCTCACCTTGTGTATAGATGCCCCAAGACTGGCCAGCACAGACAGGACTTCAATATCCACCTTGCGACTATAAGTCTGCCCTGTGACCATATAAGCCCTAAAAATAAGCATGGAAGTTGAGTGCTTCAGACAGATACAACTGTACTGCAAGACTCTGAGCAAGGAGTGACGTGGGTCTTAAAAGTAGAGGGTTGTCATTCTGCCCTGATGAGAACAATTTTCGATTCAAGCTGTCAATTTTGGGCAGCATGCAGATGAGAGAGAGAAAAGCAGAGGGGAAAATGGACAGCCGTGCTTTGACAAGGAGACAAGTAGAAGCGGCCTACTTAGGAGGTGAAATTTCCTGCGGGAAGCTGCAATTGGGAATGGAAGATGGCAAAGGGAGGTAAGTCAACAGCAGCACAGATGTCAGTTTGGCAGCTAGGGGAATCTGGGCCAACATGGACAGCACGATTCACACTTTTTGAACACCAAATTTAGGTGACTAAGCATGCTTGTTACATACCGCTTAAATCCTGCCTTTGCAGTCACTAATCTGTCCAGCTCTTCAACCTTCAGGGTGAAGAAAAAAAAACAACACAAAAGAGCTCAGAATCCAACAACTCAGGAAGGTCAGCAGCAGCAAAAAGGATCCTTTGCTTTTCTCAGTTTATTGTACGGTCAACAAATGTTGTCCTTGCTGGGAAGCATGCCCTCCCCAAATTCTGCTCCCTTTCACACAGGGCCTTCTCAGCAGGCCCCAGAGGAAGCACAGTGCCCTTGTGAATTTGATGCCAGAATCTCTGCGTTCCCCCGAAAGAGAACAGCAATTGAGAGGGGAGAAATGCAAAGACTGCAAGTCTACGCCCTGGGCTGTCTGACTTACTTTGCTATGGTCTCCCTCAAAGAGCTGCAAGAAGCTGGCTTGAGTGCCAGTGGTGCCTTTTACACCCCGAAAGCGCAGGTCATCCCGAGCCCGCTCCAGGTTCTGCAGGTCCATGCACAGGTCCTGAATCCACAAGCAGCAGCGTTTCCCCACAGTGGTGAGTTGTGCAGGTCTGAAACCAGCCAAGAACAGAACGCAGCTCACTGACAATTTGCATGACGACTCCGGAAGGACCACACTTCCCTGCTGTGCCTGCTGTTAAGACCTACTTGCAGGCTGGTCTCTCTGACTCCTCTGAGCAGAAATTAAAAAGATCTGCCCTACGCAGGAAGAGGTATCACCAGTAAACGGTACTGAAGATATGACCATACTTTTCAGGAATTAGATGTAATCACGTCAAGAGAAAACAGTAATTGTCGTTTCTGTATGACTTAGGGGATGAACAAATAAGCGAGCATGGGTATCTGAAGGTGTTTCACTACTACAGCTTTTGAGTTTCTTAAAGAAAAGTGACCGGAAGCCCACCAGTCAGAATATCTCGGACGGGTTTCATGGCGTCTTTCCAGACCTCTATCAAGCGGAGGAGCCTCAGTCACTCCAAGTAACGCGAATTCCCAGGCCCGCTCCCCGGGCTCCCCCTTTCCCACTCCCCGGGCTCCCCCTTTCCCGCTCCCTCAGCGCTTCGCCCCAGCGCCTTCG